CTGTGTTAAATTTAATCCTTAAAAAAATAAGCTTTATGTGTTAGATTCACAGTTTTATAGACATTCCTCCTTTCCCACAGGAAATCCTTTTTATGTGGAAATGTTCATGCTTTCTGATGCTTATCAAGTTCATAATTTTAAAAATGGAAACCAATGGAGCAAAAAATAATTTTATACCTCCTCTTAATTTCCCTATTCTTATTGAGGGTACTACCATCTTTTCAGTCCACTCAGGTTTGCAAGCTTGGAATCATCCTTTATCCAATCATTTGCTAAGTCTTGTTGCTTCTCCTTATATGAGATCGTTCTAATTTGTCCCCTTTGTCCAATCACTAGTCCATCATACTAGTTCAGACTCTTATCTCTCACCTGGATTATTGCAATTAAATTAAAGTCAACTGATTGGTTTCCCTGCCTCTAGTCTCTTCACTCATCAATATATCCTCCATATAGCTGCCAAAGTGATATTCTTTTTAAAAATTTTTATCAATATGTTTTGTTTTTACATTACAGACATTTACAGATTACCCCCACTCCATGAGATATCTCCTGCAGCAAAGAAAAACAATTAAGCAAAACTAATAATACAGTGACCTCATCTGAAGGTGCATGTAACATTCCACATCTCAAGCATCCCGACCTCTCTGTAATTTTTGTCTAATTACTAGAAATCTATTTTTTCTCCCTCCCACTCTGATCCTTATCAACCTGCACAAAAACTTAGGTGATCAGTGATACCTCATAAAAAAAGAAAAGAAAAATCAATTCCATGTTACAAATGTGCATAGTGAAGCATACAAATTCCCTAATCAGCTGAATACAAAAATATATGTCTCATTTGGCACCTTAAAGCTGTCACTTCTCTCAGGGATTGCATGTTTCGCCAGACCTCTGGAATTATGTATTGATCATAGTTTAAAGTTGTTTGTTTTTACAATGTTATTGTATAAATTGTCCTGATTCTGCTCATTTTAACTCTTCATCAGTTTTTAAAGTCTTCAAAATTGTTCTTTTTTACAAATGAAAAAATAAAAACTGATTTTCCTGAAGCACAGTTCTGCCCATGTCATTGAAGCTTCAATGGCCCCTTATTAATCAATCATTCAATCCACAAGTGTTCGATCACATGCTCCCTAGGTTCCAAGCACCTCGCTAAGTGCTGGGGATATGAAAAAAAAAAAAAGCAAACAAACAAAAAGTCCCTGTCTTCAAGAAGCTTATATTCTAATGGGGAGAGACAATGTATAAATAAATAGCTAACACAATATAAAGAGTAATGGGGGTAGCTTTAAAGGGGAAGGCACTAGCAAGTGGGGGAATGGAGAAAATACCTGCAGAAGACTTGTCTTGAGCTGGGTCTTGAAGGAGGTTAGGAATTCTAAAGCAGAGGTGAAGAGAGAGAGCATTCCATGCATAGGAAACAGTCAGTGCAATGGCATGGAGACCAAAGATGAAGTTTTGTGATTGTGTCTGGGGAGCAACACTTAGACCATTACGGTTGGATCATAGAGTGTGTACAAGGGAGTAATGTGTAATAAGTCTGGGAAGATAAGAAAGGGGCCAGGATATGGAGAGTTTTAAATGCCAAACAGAGGATTTAACATTTGATCCTAGAGGATTAGAGAGTCACTGGGGTTTGGATAAAGGAGTGATGTGGTCAGATATGTATTTTTAGGAAAATCACTTTAGCATCATTGTGGAGAATGATTTGGTATGATGTGAAACATTAGGCAGGGAGTTCATTTAGAAAGTTATTGCAACAATTCAGGAGAGAGGTGATGAAACCTCAAGCCTCTCATCTCTTGACCACCCTCCCAACCCCCTCCCCACCCCTTCCACCCCACCCCCACCCTCGGCATTTTCACTGGCTGTCTCTTACTCCTAGAATTCTCACCTTTGCCTCCTAGCTTCCTTCAAGTCTCAGCTAAAATTCCACTTTCTGCAAGAAGTCTTTCCTGGAGCTCCTTAAAGTTAGTGCCTTCCCAATAAGATTATCTTCAATTTTCTTCTTTCTTTCTTTCTTTCTTCCTTTCTTTCTTTCTCTTTCTTTCTTCACACACACATATGTATATGCATGTGTAAACATATATGTGTGTGTTTATCTTGTTTGTACAGGCAGGTAGGTGGTGCAGTGGATAGAACTCTGTCTGGGTGAGGAGTCAGGAAGACCTGAGCTCAAATCTGGCCTCAGACATTTAGTAGCTTTGTGATCCTGAGCAAATCACTTAAGCCTGTTTGCCCCAGTTTCCTCATCTGTAAAATGAGCTGGAGAAGGAAATGGCAAACCACTCCGGTATTTTTGCCAAGAAAACCCCAGATGGGATCATGAAGAGTCAGACATGACTGAAAAACAACTAAACAAAAACAGCAACAATCTTGTTTGTGTATATAGTTGATTACATGATTTCCCCCCCCCCATTAGACTGAGAAGAATATGGACTATGTTTTGCCTTTCTTTGTATCCCCAGTACTTACACAGGGCCTGGCATATAATAGGCATTTAATAAATGCTTTTTGACTTGACGTAAGGTGGAGTGATGGCTTCTTGAATTGACTTTATTAACTGTAGGAAAAAAAGAAAAAAAATTGGGAGTGGGGGAGGGAGGAGCATTTAAAGCCTTCCACTATCTGGCCCCTACATATCTCTCCAGGCTAACTCATAGCTGTAGTTTTAAAGCTGGAAAGGGCCTTGTCCATCTAGTCAAACATCCTTATTTTACTGCTAAAAACAAAAAAAAAAACAAAAACCAAAACCAAAAAAACTAACAACAAACAGGGCCAGAGAAGATAAGGCACTTGTCCAAGATCACACAAGATATCATTGGCAGAGCTAGGATTTGACTGCAGGTCCTCTGATTTCCAATACAGCATTTTTTTTCACTGTTATTTCCTCCTTTACGCCAGGCACTATACTAGACACCAGACATAGAAAGACAAGAAACAGCTCCTAATGTTCAAGAAGCTCTTAATCTCCGTGTTTCATCACTCCCCATCTTTAAGCCTCAGTTCCTAGAATGCTCTTCTTCCTCTTATCTGCCTTTTGGCATGCCCTCCTCCCAGCTCCCTCTGCCTTCAAGGCTCAGCTCAAATACCACCTCGTCTTTATTCCCCCTGTGGCTTGTGTTCCCCTTCACCCAAATTACTTTGTATTTTTTTTTGCATATATTTTGTACATATCTGTGTACGTGTTACTTTCTCCCCACTAGAATGTAAGCTCCATGAGGGTGGGGGACCGTTCCTTTATGTCCCTGATGTCTGAGTACATAGTAGGCTCTTGATAAAACGATTTGAACTGACTTGTATTTAGCCACATATAACTGAGAATGAAATGTAATTAACTCTCTAGTGTTGGTTGTTTCTTTGGCTTGTTCTCGGTTTGGGAATTTCTCCGTTAAGACCTAATGGTGTAGAAAACTCCGAAATACAACTAGGAGGTGAAGGGCGTCAGTATTGTTCGCTGCTCCACCAGGAAGAGGGAGGCGGGAGGAGGAAGATGATACAGGTTATAGGGCAAGGAGGAGGAAAGAAAAAGAAGAAAACTTAGCTTGGAGATAAGTGTTTACTTTGGGGATGCCCTGTTACTGGGCAGGCTGAGTCTGGTCCGACAGCCTTCTCCTACTCTTCCCCCACCCCCAGCTTTCAGCCTAAAGTCTGTGAGCTCTCCCCAAGGAAGGGCGGGCACACCTCCTTACGGGGAGGTGGCCCTGTTTCTCCATCTGCATCCTTTTCTCCCTTCCTGGCCCCGCCCCACCCTTCCTCTGGCACCCTGTTGCTTTCCCGCCATCTAGGAAGTTGCAAAGTGGCTGATTGGAGCCCTTATTTAAAACCACCTGGCTTCCGGGGGACCTGCCCCACCTTTCTCTTTACTCTCCGCCCTTCCCAGCAATTTGCAGCCGTTGAGCTGCAGGCGGCTCAGGTTTCTTGCTTTCAGCCTGCACACGTGCTGCAGCCTGTATTTGCCCCGAAGTGCACACTCTGTTCTCGAGTCAGTCCCTCGCTACCTTGGGCGAGGTGGGGTCTCTGCTTTTCTTCAGGACCTAGAGTTTGCAGCTTTCCGGCCCTCTGCCACCCTTGGACCCCATTTGTCTCCTAGTTTGCTCCTGGAGTTGTGGCTCACTTGGGACCAGGTGACTCATTCCTCTTGTAAGGCCCTCAGGGATGCAGCTAAGCCCCCTACCCCTTTCCCTACCAATCCTGGAGAGGGAGTGTAAAATTGAGCAACCTGGAGTGCTAGCCTCCTGGGCGTATGTGAGCTTTTCCCGCCAGCTTTTTCTCTAGTCCTCTTGCCAACTTCCAGCAGGGCGTTGTGGGCGTGCAGAGGATACAGCCCCTTTTTCTCCGCCCCATAGACCCACGCAGTCTTTTGCAAAGAGCCAGTTTGTGCTTGCTTTGAGACCTCAGTAAAATACGAATTTGGTGGATCATGAAAGCTAATGTTTGGGGTGAAAGCTTGCCTTGGGTTAGAATTGTTTTGGTCCACTTCTCTGGAGAGAGATTGCATTTGGTTGTCTAGCTAGTAGTTAGAAGCTCTAAGTTTATAGGTGGGGTGGATGAAGGTAGTTATTTCCAGAGTTTTTATCTTCCAATTACAGTTCACTGAATTAAAATCATTCCTATGTGTTAACCTTGGTAGAAGACTAGGCAGTACTCCTAACCCCTACTCCTACCTTGAAAAAATCTGCTAAGATGATATTTAGATTATATTATTTTCGATGAGTTGACCTTGTTATTTTTCCTTACAAAAATGATTGGGAAGGATACAAATTATACTCAAATGAGATTTTGTAAAGTTTATGACATTTTAAAGAGTACATATTTGTAAAACGTCTCTCGCTTGTGGTGATGAGACAGATTTAGGACAAAGTGCAGGTATTACATCTTTCTAGAGGAGATTACTGTATTTTAATAAAAAGTCTTTTTTTGGTTTTCAGTGATGTTATCAGAGAATGAAGTAAAGAAAGGGTAACCCTTATGTTAATTTCCCTCTCTGTCTCTTTCAGTCCAGAGCACAACCACCAGAAGAGAATAAAAGGAAACCAGTTTTGGGAAAACTTGGAAATCTGTTCACTGCTGGGAGAAAACGGAATACCAGGAATGGATCAGAGGGTTCCACAAACTCAGTTCCTAAATTAGTTTCTCCTTCTAAGCTGTCAGAAAGAGAGAAGGAAAAAAGTAAATCTGGCACTCAACCAAGAAATACAGATGGTTCTGTGGCCAGCTCACCTACAGAAAAAACACATGAACCAGAGAACGACCATGCAGAGTGCCAGGGCCAAACAACCTCTCTTGACGCTGAGCTGTCATCTTGCTTGAGCAACAGTGAAACAGTGGCTGTACAACTCTGTGATGAAAGTGATTCATCCAAATTAGAACCTTCAGAGCAAGAAAGAGACACTTTCCCAGATCCCACAGCTGTTGCCAAGGACCTGCCCTCCAAGCCAGAATATTCCTCTAGGCAAGAGAACTCAGAGATCCTTGCTCCCAGTTTGGAGAAACTTTCAGGCAGTAGTCACTCAACCGAGGAGGATAAAAGGTGTCTAACCAATGGCTCTCTGGAAGAGTCAAATAGCCATCCACCTGAAAACTCGTTCATCTTAACCAGCTTACCAAAAGAGCTGGGTGGAAATTGTCTAAGTAACTTGCAGATTGAGAGCACAGACAGTAAGCCTGAGTTCTCCTATGCAAAATCAAAGGCTGTGCCATGCGCTCCAGATTCCAAAGTCAACGAGCGCACACACCCAGCTAAAGTTTTAACTTTGGATATCTATCTGAGGAAAACTGAGGAGGTGTCCTCCGTGGATGAACCAGTGGTCGTGTCTCTTGCGGAAGGAGATTGCAGTGATCCCGAGGAGATGGAAAAGCGATCTAATGGCAGAAGGTCAGGGAGGAGGAGAAAATCTCAGAAATCAACTGACGCACCCAACGGAGATAAAGTTCCGGTTGAGACTGTTACAGGCGAAGACTCCGTATTTGCTGAGGATGCAGCACCCGCTGTGGTAGCAGAAAAAGTCTCTGGGGAGAAGAAAGTAAAATCGCCCCAGGCAGCAACTGCAGCAGCAGCAGCTGCTGCTGTACCTGAAAGGAACGCTTTGGGACCTGGCAACCCGGACTCCAAGGCTGGAGCTGCGCACCAGAAAGGACACCCGAGAGGGGACTCGGACAAAAGCAGGCAGCCCCAGCTCCCCACCACTTCCCCGACCAAAAGGAAGGGCAAAAGCCGCCTGCCCGAAGCTGGCCCCCTCTCCCCTCCCGGAGGCTCCAAGAATCTAGGCAAAGATTCTCCTCCCAAAAAGCAGTCTGGGGCGGCCCCCGACGGGAATTCCGTTTGTGCACCTAAAGCAGCCGCAGCGGAAAAGTCATCGGCTGCAGGGGAGAAGTCAGCGGCAGATGTTGGACGGGGAAGTGAGAACGGGGAGGAAGGGGCAGCGGCTGCCAAGGTTATACCTCGGGAGCTCACAGTGAAGAGCAGCACATTGCTGCCCGAAATCCGCCCTGAACACAAGAGAAGCTCTTTTCTTAACCACTTGGATGGCAGAGCAGAGGGGGGCAGAAACAGAGGAGAGCTAGCGAGACTTCCAGCCAGCTCTGACCCTGACAACTGCAAACACAGAAACCACTTGGGTGCTGCCCGAGCAACAGTAACCACCAAAATTAATCTGTAAGTAACTGCGTAATTGAGCTGGCTTCCTGCTGCTTCTTGAAGTGCCCTGCTTGTGATCAGAATAGTTGTGGGTGTTGGGGATTAAGTGTAGTGGATTGCCTTACACTTGGGGATAGTGAAGTGAATTTACATTGTACTTCAGTGACTTAAATTTAAATATAAGGAAGTGACCCCCCCCCCCCCCCCCCCGCGTGCAGTTAGAGTTGATTGATGAAATGAGATAAGATATAGCATGTCTTAAGATTCCTTTAGCAAACTAGAGTGTCATGACTTTTTTTTGGTAGATTGCTATTTTCTCTTGAGATTTCGATTCTTTGTGAATTTGTCCGAGATATGCTTTAGAGTTAGGCATTTTAAATCAGGCACACAGAAACAAAAGCACACGAACTGCTTGACTGTTTACTCAGTCTTACACATTGCCAGGTACGACAGGCTTCTTAAATCAATTACAGTAACATTTTCCAGACTTAGTGGACACTGAAGGTATGGTAAATTTATATAACAAAGCTGGTAATTCTTTTGGCTAATGAGATCTCTCTATTTGACCTGTAATTAAGAAGGCACACAGACTGTTTCCATTCACTATATATTTCTTGAGTGCTTACTATGTTCAATTTAGGGTCCAGGGTTCAAAGTGAATCATCTCTTAACCTTCTTTTATTACCATCTTGGAATAAAATTGCTTAGTCATTTCTCTCCCTCTTTAGTGTTAGAAATCGTGGGCCTGCAGCAGATTGAAAAATTATCTTCAATTACTAGATGAGAGATTTGTACCTATATCCCATCATTACTTACCCCTAAAAGAGTTGATAAGTAAAACTTCAAGAATGAAATCATAGAATTTGAGGGCTGGAAGAGACCTCAACATCCACATACATAAAGAAATTCTCAATGTAACATGCCTAGCATTCAGTCTCTCCTTGAAGACATAGGAGTGGGGACCAACCACTTCTGAAGGCAACACATCATTAGCAAGTTTTTCCTGAAATCAAGTCTAAATTAACATCTTGGCAACTTCTACCCATTGTTCCCCTTCTGTTCCCCCCCCCCCACTAAACAAACAAGCCTAATCCCTCATCCGAGTTGCTCCCAACACAGTTATTGCATTCTTGGAATTGATTGGAAATTAGGACTATTCTCTCCTAGCTCTGTTCATTCAGTACAACTGTATTAAATATCTACTGTGTAAATCCCTGTGCATTAGGAGTATATAAAGACATATCAGACATTTTTGGGACAAATAATAGTGAACATTTCTATGATAGGATTGCACTGGGTGCTAAGAATAGAAATATTAAAGTGAAATATTCCCAGCCCTCAAGTAATTTACATTCTATTAAGGAGATAGAACATGTTTGTGGATAAATACAGAGTAATTTGAGAGGGATACTAATAACTGAAGGGAATTAAGAACAGCCTCTTGAAGGAGGTGGTGCTTGAGCGTAGCCTTGAAGGGAGCTAGAGATTCTCAGAGGCAGATGTGAAGAGAAAACATTCCAGGTGTGAGGGAGGGATAGCTGGTACAAAGTCATGGAGGTGGGAGGGGCGAATATCCTGTAGGGAGAGGCTTGTAGCAGATAGGCTTCATGGAGTGAGTAACCTGTAATTGGCCTTCAAAGATAGGTAGGAGCCAGATTGGAAAGGGCCTTAAATGCCAAAGGGAAGTTTGTGGGTTTTTCCTAAAAAACAAAATAAACCAATAAAGCGCCATTGAAGCTTCTGGTTAGACTTGGGCTTTAAGAATATTGATTTGACAGTTCTGTGGAGGACGAGACGCTGGAAGCAAGGAGCACAAATAAGAGGTCGATTGCATTAATTCAGGTAAGAAGTGATCAGGACCTGAAATAACATGCTTGTGGTTTGAGTAGAGCAAGGGCCACTGAGGAGGTAGAATGGTTCAGGACCTGTCAACCCCATTGAATATTTGGTAGAGGTGGAGAAGAAGGAAGTGAGGATGACTTCTTGGTTGAACCTGCATAATTAGAAGAATGGTGGTGTCCTCTACAGAAATGTAGAAATGAAAGACAATAATTATGCAAGACAGTATTTGAATACTATAGATTAGAGGAGGGAGAGTTTGCCCCTTAGGTGCTTTTGGAGCTGGGCCTTAAGAGATGATTATGATCTAGAGAGGTAGACAGGATGGAGAGGCCTTTGGGAATCAGGTTTACTATAGCTAAAGGTCTGTATTAGTGAAATTGAATGAGACCCCCAAAATAGTGCAGAAGAATAATCAACAATGAACATTTTAAAAAAATCTCTGTTTTTGAGTCATAACATTTCAATAAAGAAATATGATGCATATATTAAATAACAAAATGATTGTCATTTACAGAAACTTGTTCTTCCTTCTTCCTCACCTCCCACATCCTGTTTCCAAGTACTATTGATTCTATTTCCACAATCTATCTGATATCTCTTCCTTTTTCTCTTTTCAGGGAACCTACCCCCACTATAGTTTATATCTTTGCTACTGAATTTGAACCAAGGTTCAAATCCTGCCACTGATAACTACCAGTGTGACCTAGAGCACGTCAGTTAATTTCTCATGGCCTCAGTTTCTTCACCTGAAAAAATGAGGAGGTTGGCCTAGGTTACCTCTAAGGTCTCTTCCAGCTCTAAAGTCTAGGAGTCTATGATCCCTTGGACCATTTTGAACATATTTTCTAGTTGCATTTTCCCCACCCTTACTACCCACCACACACAAAATCATAGTGCTTTCCTAAATTTTTTTCCCGCTGTATATATATGTATATATTTTTTTCTTTTTTTTTTGGTGAGGCAATCGGGGTTACGTGACTTGCCCAGGGTCATATTAAGTGTCAACTGTCTGAGGCTGGATTTGAACTCAGGTCCTCCTGACTCCAAGACCAGATCTCTATCCACTGTGCCACCTAGCTGCCTCTACCCCTGTGTATCTTTAATCCCTCCTCTCATTCTCCTGGCTCCTTACCCTCAATTCATTTCAGTTACCTTTATTAAACATCTATTCTATGGAAGTCACTGAGCCAGGTACTAGTGATAGAAAAATGAAAAGTGGCGGTAATACCTGCCTTCCAGTAGTTTACAGATTACTGGAAGGGGAATTAGACTCCTACATAAATCAGTATGATACATGGTTGGAGCTATTGGAGGCGAAGGAGAAATAAAAAATAAGGGAGAGCTCTGTTTGAGCTGGGGATTTTGGAGAAGGAAGTATTAGTGGAGCTGGGCCTTGAAGGAAAAGGAGGATTACCCACTGAGGGAGTGGATCCACGCCATGAGGGATAGCTAGGAGGGACAGCTAGGGATTAGAACCGCTGGTATTCTGGCTATCTGGAATATAGAATGGCAGAAGGAGAATGGTGTGAAATGAGACAGGAATGACATTGTGATAGGTCTTCCTTAAGTGCCAGGGTGAGACTTTTGTATTTTAATCATAGAATACCACTGAAGATTTTTGAGCAAAGTGTTTCTTTGACCAGACTTGTGCAATAATAATAATAGTAATAATAACTAGCATTTATATAGCATTTTAAGGTTTGTAAAGTGCTTTACAAGTGTTACTTCGTTTTATCCTCACAAAACCCCTGGGGAAGTAGGTGCTATTATTACCCTCATTTTACAGATGAGGAAACTAGGGCAGACAGAGGTTAAGTGTTTTGTCCAGGGCTTCATAGCAATTAAGTATGTGAGACCAGATCTGAAATCAGGTCTTCTTGACTCCTGGCCCAGTCCTCTATACCCATTCTTCTATTAGGAAGAATATTTTGGGAGCTGTGTGGAGGATGGAATTGGAGAAAGGAGGAACGAGTCGGGGAGCCCAATTAAGAGGCTTTCGTTCTCCAAATTGCACGTTTGTTGATAACATTTGTTTTCATATCATCGTTTATCACTATAGCCCTCTGTTCTCCTCCACCCAGAGAGTCATCCTTAGGGATAAGGAACTAGACCTGTGATTTCATTAGTATAGTGAACACCCATATGATGGAATTCTCTCTGCCAGGGGGAGGTCAGCACCTTCTTTGTAACTTATAAAAATAGTTACCTAGAGTACTGAGAGATTTACCCAGGGTCACCCAGCCAGTATATGTTGAAGGCAGGATTTGAACCTGGGTCTTTCTGGCTTAAGGCCAGCTCTCTACCCACTGTGTTATGTTACCTCTATAATAAAGAATTTAAAAAGGGGGGGGGGGGGGGGGAGATAAAGGAAAGAAGCAGTTCGGCAAAATTAACTCCTATCAGCCTGGTCTGACCTATAGTTCCTCACCCTAACAAAGATGGGAAGGAGATGCATTCTTTTATGTGTTCTTCAGGACCAAACTTGGGCAGTATAATTACACAGTGTTCAGTTTTGTTTTGTTTTTTCCATTTACTTTGTTCTCACGATGTATATAATTTTCCATCATTCTGCTTACTTCATTTTGCATGAATTCCTCAGTTTTCCTCTGCCTCTGTATTTTTCATATTTGTTTCTTATAGGAGAGTAAAATTCTATTATACTTTTATACCATAATTTATTCTTTATTCTAAGCCAAACTTTTATAAAGTTGAGTATATTTATGGCCTCTACTTTTTTACTATCCATTCACTTCTCACTTACATCTATCTGACTTCTGTCCCCACCAGTCTATAGAAATTGTGTTCTTTAAGATCCCTAATGAATGGCCTCTTCGCTTCCAAATCCAGTGGTGTTTTTTTCAACCCTCTTCCTTCTCCACCTTAATTTTAGTGCAGCATTTTTGACGTCATGACCTATACTGACTTCCTGCAATATTCTCATCCCTTGGCCAATGTCCATGCCAATGCAATGTCATGATTATTCCCCTACCTAATTTTCTGCTATTTTTCTGACTCCCTTGCTAGATCCTCACCCTTCACTTGCCCATTAATGATTCTGTTCAGGGCCTTCTTTTCTTTCTATACTCCTTACCCTTGGTCATTTCTCCCACTTCTGTGGTTCCATTGATCTCCTTTCTGAATATATTTGTGGTTGTTTAGTCATTTCAGTCATGTCT